GGGAATACTTAACAGCACGTTTTAGATCATCCTGAATAGCTCCAAAATTCAGCCAGTATTGTCAGTTTTTTGAGATAGTCCACAGAAACGCGACGCCTTTTGAGGGAGTATTTGTCCCATGAAATGTTAAAGGAGACTGGAGATTAGGAATAACCACAGAATGCTTTCCAGGCTGGAGGCCTAACATTAGACACAAACTGGGGTCGGTGTTTGTTCTGGGCCAAGGCCGTACACAGACAAAAACGCAGCGTCCTATTAATTAAGGACACGGTACGACAGAAAAGGTTCTGTACCCGATACCGCCAAAACCCTGTCAGAACCACAAAGCCCTTCGAGGTTCCTTTTATTTTACCTCATTTTTGCACTCGAGTCAAAGCACTGCTGCGTTCCTTCGAAGGAGGCAGGCGACACGGACGAAACAGGAAGAGGGAAGCACTCGCCCAAGGGCCCGGCCCTTTCCTCGCCGCAGCTCGGCCTTCTCATTTCCTTCCCGATGGTTGTGATTTTATGTTAACTGAGACTCAACTCCAATAGGAAAAAAGGAGTAATTTCCCCAAATAGGAGGCATTTAATAGTAACAACTGGATTTGTAGCCGAGGCCTTTCCCCCCTTTTCATTTGGTGTTTACTGTAAACCACGTTAAAAACTTACTGTTTCAATATATGGAAATATTTTATTTAAAACATTCACGATTATATATAAAGTTCATGATAAAATACAAGAAAAATGTGCATTTAAAATCTGTATAAAGTAACACTCCGGCGTCAAGCCTGCGCGGTGGTTAGCAGGCTTTCTTGAAAGACCAGTTTCCATCTGTAACGTGCACATCGTCACCTCAGCGGCATCAAGGAGACTTTCACCGCCGAGCTCACGAGGAAGACGCGTCACCTCTCAGATTCCGAACAGACGTGCCCAGAGCCCTATATATGACTATTTTCGTTTCGAACATCAGGACTGAGGGACACGAGAGCTCTTGTAAACAGAGTTTCCTTCTTGTTACGTGACCAGGGTGAGCAATGAATGGGAAACACTTGAGGTTTCCCACTCCATTTTCAACCCTAACAGCACCCGAAATCGGCGCCTCCCATCAGGCACCATTAGATGTCTGACGAATCGCTCCAGTCTGTTACAGTGACTAAGCTGCTTTTCAACGTGCTCGTGTTATCAGTATCATGAGGGCCTGTTGAAATAACAACAAACAAATTCTAAATCACCCACAATATCCGGGGGGTGTTTTTCCTCTGTGTTTACCTACGGGATAAAACCACACGCTGGGCAAGCCAACACCTGTGGGCTTCAGGAAATGCAGAATTTCAACCGGCGGAGAAAGTCGTGAGTGTGGATAACACGACGGCTGTTGCTGTCACGGCGTACGACGCACAGTGCGAGCAGTCGGCGTCAACGTGACTCTCCCTTTAAAAGTAACCTGAAGTATCTTTATATAACTGACACAACTTTAGCCTTCACGAATACCGAAATGTCAGGGCTAGAAAATACTAAGTTCCACGTAAGATCGAGGATATTACTTTACCACTACCACAAATAGTTATCTCAGCCCGGTAGGTCACTTACATATCTTGAACAAACCTGACATTTCATTATTATTCTCAAGACAAGGTAAGAAAATTTGCCTTTGCCTTTAAATTTGGGAAAGGATGGGGAAAAAAAAAATCCTGGATGATTAATTTTTAAGAGGAGGTTGGAGCCTGATAGTACTATACATTTTAGAATCTCAAATTTACGTTTCTTGGCATCTCTATTTATGTGTGTTGTTTACATATAAGTCTGTATCATCAATATCAGATACGATATTTATATGACATAAAACCAACACACCGTTTTTCTTACTTGTTCATGGAATTGTGGAATGGTTTGGGTTGGAAGGGACCTTAAAGATCATCCAGTTCCAACC